AGCCATCCTGGGCCTTGGTTCCTTCCCTCCAGTGACTATCTCGTTAAGTGAAATCAATCGGGCGGCACACACTTTCCTAGCACAACATAAAAAAAAAAAAAAAAAAAAAAAAAAAACAAGAAAAAAAAAAGAGGGGAAAGGAAAGAAAGGGAGAGGGAGAAAGAAGGCCACCATAGGTTCTTAGTCTCCCAAATTTGCTCTTCTTGCTTGGGCCTTACATGAGTGCTACATGTTCCCAGTACTGTACTTGGTCTTATCTCTGTACAGAAAGCACTAATGAAAGCCAAGTTTATAATTTTAAATCTTCACTTAGGCTTTGGGGTATGGGACAAGTTACTTTCTCTGAATTTCAATTTTGCTACTTATGAAACTGGGTCAGTTATTTCAGGGCGGTGCTTTGACAATCAAATGAAATAGAGGTGTGAACTCTGAAGATTTTGCAGTGTCATACAAATGTCCTGTTGTTTTCCGTCATTTCTTCATGTTTTCTTATACCTGTCTCTTTTTTGCTGAGAGTCCTCCTGGTGAGAAAGGACAAATATTTCCTGTAACACAGTCAGATCACCATGACAGTATTGGTTGTAGTGGAAGGAGTACACACAGTGCTTTTTCTCTCACCCCCCGACCTCCACACTCTCATGATCCAGATCATCCATGGACAAATACACTGCCCTCCATTTTACCCTGTGACTTCTGGTTGTGCTGTAGCTCTCCTTGCAAGTCCTGAACAAGAGGCAGATGCTTTAAAACTGCCAGTCTCCTCCAAATTTCCAGAAACTGCTTTCAAAACCTCTTTCTGTTTATGGAGCACTGAGACAAAATTTTGTGTTACTCATTTTTAGGACAAAGGACTGACCAGCAAGGAAAACCCCAAGATGAAATGAAAGAAGTAGGGATTCTGTTTCTGCGATTCCAAGCAATTGTAACACAAGAACTTCAGGATCAAAGGAAACAGTTTGAAAAATACGGCTTGCAGGTGATAAAGGTATACACAGAAAAGTTATGAATTGAATACATTTGATAAAATGATCATTCGTATATAAAATAATATACAAATTCATTATTTAATGAATATAATATAAATAATATATAATGAATATATAAATATTCATTAATATAAAAATTAATGAAAAATGTGCAAATTTTGGTCATCTTGCATTTAAATAATGGAACTGGTGAGTGGTTAAGAAGGCAGATGCTGTTATTGACCATTTCGTTATTGGTGCTTGGCATTTAGTGATTGCTCAGTGAATTTTTATTAAATGAATTTATTGAAGAAGCAGCAGAGAATTTTGAAGAGCTAGAAGTCAAACAAAGAAGATTGGGGGAGAAGAGAATCTTATGCAACTTCATATGAAAAGTGAATTACATGTAAAATAGTATGAAGTATGCAGATAAGCATCTTTTTTTTTTTTTTTTGTCTTTTTGAGACAGGGTGTTGTTATGTAGCCCAGACTGGCCTTGAACTCACAGTGATCCTCCTACCTCAGCTTCCCAAGTGCTGGGATTACAGGCATGCGCCACCATGCCCGACCATCACCTTTATTTTTTCAATAGACAATTTGTGTAGCTATTTTCTAGTCTCTTTTTGAGTTTTTCTTTTCCTTGGGTTATAGGTGGAAGAGATAGACAACAAGGTTCTTATGCATGCCTTCCAGAGAAAGAAGAAAATGATGGAAGAGAGAACGCACAGGGAGCCTGTGAGCCACAGGCTGTTTCAGCAAGTCCCTCGTCAGTTCTGCAATGTGGTTTGCAGAGTCGGCTTTCAGAGACTGTACTCTGTGCCCTGCGGTAGGTGTCAGCCCCTCCTCCTCAGGGCTATTTGTGCGGGAATTGACAGCAGACATCGGCAGATGGCTCACCTTTAAAAGCATTCATTGCTTGGGGGAGGGGAATCATTTGTAGGTGGGATTTAGAGGTAAGGTTTTTTGGAAAGTGTTATATGTTAAATTTTTCCTTCGTATCTGTTGTTGATGATGGGTTTTACATTGATGAAAGTATGAGCAGTAGGATCTATGGTTCACTATTATTATTTGTTTTTTCCTCATTTCTGTTTTTGTGTCTTATCAGAAGAGAGCACCTTGGGGCTTTTTTTTTTTTTTTTTGCTTACTCATCTCAACAAAATTATTATCAATACTACTGAGCCATCCTCAGCCCGTAGCTAAAAAGACATTTCCCTAAATTTAAGACAGTTGATCTTTTCTTTCTCACCCTCTTTATTTCCTGTAGCTTACTTATAAGTGAATTAGATACTGCAGGTGAAGTAACATCTTAAGATCTTTCTCAACCATACACGTTCTAGGTGTAGCTTCCATGTCTCTCTTCAATTATTTAAAAATATGAGACATTTAATTGCTGTGTGGTTCCCTGTCCTCCTCACTCACCACTGAAAAATCCTGGCTTTAGATCTCTCCAAAGGAGGCTAAAAACTTTAGCCATAATCACAGAGGGGAACCTAGCAGTGCAGCTTTATGTTACCTGGTCCATTAACTAGTGGCTCTTGATCTGTAGCTTTCAAACCTGCAGCACGCCCTCTGCTGTGGGGTCATTTCTAATAGTCTTGGTTTCTAGAAAACAAAAGGTCTGGATTCATCTTTCCTTTGTTGCAGAGAGAGCACAGTCATTACTAGGGGCAGAAATTGAACATAGACAATTCCTGAGAGGTAAAAGTAAATGAATTACCATTACGAAGAAGTGTTCTGAGTGCAAAGATGTGATGATCAGTATATTCCCTTCATTGCCAAAGTCTTAAATCTGTGATTTTCATTTGCTTCTTAATTAGCTTCTCTACTTAAATTATTTTCACTAAGATCATCAGTATCTTCCTGTTTTCTATATCTGGTGAGTACCCTCTTTTCAGTCCTGTGTGCAGTGTTGCTAATTTTCTACCTAACACCTATACACATCTTTCTTCCCAGAACATCTAAGACATACACCATCCTCTCAAGGAAGACAGTCCCGGTGTCTCATCTAGTCTCATCATCGGCCTCAAGTCCAGGCAGTCCTCTAAAAGCTTAAAAACAAGGAATTACCCCCACATATTCATCAGATGATGATATGAGAAGGAGCAAGAAATCTGCAGTGAAATTCCCACTTTGAAAGAGAAGAGAGGGCATGGTGGTGCATTCCTATAATCTCAGCACTCTGGGAGACCAAGGCATAAGGATCATGAATTCAAGCCCAGGTTGGGCAACTTGGCAAGACCTTGCCTCAAAAATAAGGCTAGGCATGTAGCTCAATGCACAGGCCTTAAATTCAACCCGCCGGTACCACAAACACACATGTAACAGTCACTGGCCCTCACTACTTATCATGTGTGACTGGTCAAGAGCAGAAAGGACTCCTTGTTCAGGGAGTGGAGTAAAGCCCTTATTTTTGCACCCTGGGAAAATATCCCTTATGTGTTATAGCCCCACTACCTCCCAGGGGACCATGGATTGCCTCACAGGCTATCACATGCTCAGGCTGGTACAGCCAGGCTTGTGATCTCTTCAGCAACATGACTCCCTTAAAAACTCAGCAGGCATGAAGCCTACTCACTTCTGATCAAGTTTACATCCTCAAACTCAGCCAAAGATCTTGTTTCCATATAGTCTTGACACCTAAACGATTTAATATTTTCCTTTGGGCCTCTTTTCTCTTGCCTACCTGAAAACTGCCTTAGCTTACCAGTCACTACCTGTGAGCAATTCAGACAGTAGATTTCATTGGGAGACACTACCTGTAAAGTCACCTGGAAATATGGCTCATCTCAGGGGGACGGAGGAAACTCTAAACTGATGTTGCTAAATAAGCCTCAGACGTGCTAATATCACTGCCACAGATGCTGTTGTCATTTGGAGTACAAATCTCTTGACTTTTTCAGTCCTGCAATGTTCTCAATAATAGGACTTTCAGTAAATTTAGATGGCCAGCCACAGGCAAGGTGCTTCTGTTAGCAAAGCTTGCCTTTCTTTTTTTTCTTTCTTTCTCTCTCTTTCTCTCTCTTTCTCTTTCCTTCCTTCCTTCCTTTCTTCCTTCCTTCCTTCCTTTCTTTCTTTCTTTCTTTCTTTCTTTCTTTCTCCCTCCCTCCCTCCCTCCCTCCCTCCCTCCTCACCTCTTTCTTTCTCTCATTCATTTATTCTATGCTTGCCTTCTAGCCAATTCTGTCCCGAGTTTGTCTCTTGCTTGTAGGACTTGGTTGAATGAAGCAAGAAGTCTATACACTTGCAATTCCATTTTGTGTCCATTCATCCATTATACAATTATTTATTTTTTTAAAAAAAATTCATTAGTACATGTTTGTAGTACATAATGATCATATTCATTGTGGGGGATTATACACATACATAAAGCAACTCAATTCTTTTTTTTCCCTTTCTTCTCCACCTCCCCGTTTAAAATTTTTTTGCCAGTGTCACATTCATTTATTTATTTTACACATTCTTATCAAGTTAATTATCATAAATACAGATTAACAGCCAGACTAACATGGCAAAACCATGTAAAACCCATAAGACAAGGGGCTAGGGATATAGCTCAGCAGCACAAGTCCCTGCCTGATGGGTGTAAGGTCCTGAGTTTGATTCCTGGTACTAAAAAAAAAAACAAAAAAACAAAAAAACATGTAAGACAATTATACTAAAGGTACACTTGTAGGTACATCATCAGTGCTAGATTACTGCTTAAAACCATTATCTGTCTTTTATTTTGCAATTTATTTATATATTAGGTTTCTCCTATAAGAGAAACTATGTCATATTTTAAATTGTGCATCTGATTTATTTCACTTAACATTATAGTCTCAAGGTACATCCATTTTCCTGCAAATAACTCAAGTTTATCCTTATTTATGGCACAGTAGTACTCCTGTAAGTATAAATACCTTGTTTTCTTTATATATTCACTTATTGATGGACATATAGGCCCCTTCCAATATTCAGCTATTATGAATTGTGCTGCTATAAACATGAGTATGTCTACATTGCTGTCATATGATGTTTTTAACTCTTTGGGGAATATACATAGAAAGGGAATACCTGGGCCAAATGGAACCTCAAATTTCAGTTTTATAAAGAATCTCCATACTGATTTCCACAGTTACTACATGCCCACCAACACTGAAGCATTCCTTTTTCCCCATAGCCTCATCAGGATTTTTATTGGATAATTTCTTGATGATAGCTATTCTTTCTGGACGAGATGGAATCTCAGTGTTGTTTTAATTTGCATTTTTCAAATGGCCAGTGACGTAGAACATTTTTCCATGTATTTATTGATGGTTTGTACTTCTTCATCCAAAAAGTGTCTATTATTTCAGATGCCCATTTTTTATTTGGTCTTTAAATTGGGCAGGGTCTGATTTTTGTGAGTTTTTAAAATATATACTAGATATTAGTCCTTTGAGATGTAGCTAGCAAAATGTTTTCCCCATTCTGTACATTGTGTCTTCATTCTGTTGGTGGTTTCCTTTGCTGTGCAGAAGCTTTTTAATTTCATGTGATTTCTTTTGTTGATTTTAGTATTATTTCTTGTGCAGTCAAGGTTGTATTCAGAAAGTGCCTACACTGATGCCTTCAAGAGTTTTATCTATTGTATCTTCCAGAAGATTAAGTGTGTTTTAATGTTATCTTTGACCCACTTTGACTTTAGTTTGTGCACAGTGAGAGATATGGGTATGGGTCCAATTTTCAGCTTGTGTATAGCCAGTTTTTCCCGCACCATTCCTTAAACAGGCTACCAAGGTCAGGCACGGTGGTGCACACCTGTAATCCGAGCACTGAGGCAGGAGGATCAGCTCAAGTTCAAGGCCATCTTGGTCTACCTAGTGAATTCAAGGCCAGCGTGAACTGCATAGTGAGACCCTGTCTCAAATATATATATATATATATAATTTTTTTTAAAAGAAGCTATCTTTCCTTCAGTGATACTGGTCATTTATGTTTTGTATTGTTTTGTTTATCTAGCTTTTTAGTAGTATCTTCTGAGAGCCCCTGTATCATTTTGGTTATTACTTCCTTTATCTGTTAATTACATCTTCTGTGATCCTGCTGAGTACTACTTTGATCTGTTTTCTGACCTCCTCTGTTATTTTTCCAAGTAATCTGGGTGTGTGGCGTATGATATTCTGGCTTGGCTTTGGGGTATTTGGGAGTTTGGGGAGGCTTTTTTGTTGCCCAGTCTTCTCATGTTTCTGTTGTCTATTTGTTCGTGTGTGTGTGTGTGTGTGTGTGTGTGTGTGTGTGCATGCGTGTGCACGCACTGAGGTTTGTGAATGTTTACAATGTAAAGACTTTGTGGCTAGTATAAAGATCTCTTTCATGGCTTTTCTGTGATGTACTTGGGGCATGGCTAGTTATAGTCTTTTGCATCAGCCCCAACAGCTGACCACCTTGGTTAATTTGGAAAGGGAGGATGCAGTATAATTAGCCCAACAACCAAGTTCCCTGGGAATGTACTCTAGTATTGTTAATGTCACTAAGGTAATCTGAGTATTGGCTTACAGAGAAATAGTGATATTTATGTGACCATGGTAATATCAAGCAAATCAGCTACAGCAGTATTATCCAAGACAAGTTACATATTAACATACCATAAGCATCAATTATGTACCACCTTTAACTATAGAAAAGAAATTCACAATTATGTTGTAAAAACCCAGCTACTGACTTACAGCTAATATGTACCAAATGCAGCAGCTATATTTCTGCTAATCAAAGAAAGGAATCCAACAGTACTTTACAGAGATCAAGACGATTAACAAAACTTTATAGATATACTATTAGAGATATGGGGTTTGAGGATGGAGAAT